TAGGAAGATGGACTATGGTATGACTGCGCAAAAAGTTTTATGCTGCGAAAAACCGCCACTAATGTTACTGATACCGAGTTTCTCAAGTACAATATTTATCCTACATAATAGTGAAAATAACATCAAGCCTGTTGAAGTAATTTTCCACATTTTTATTTAAGAGAGCGAACTTTGACAAAAAAAAAAGTCACTTTCAGCACTGCAACTCTCATAGATAACTTGTCGACAAGACGCTAACGAGGATGAGACAAGGATTGTCTGGAAACCAGCTTGAGATTAGTCGTAGCTTTGGACTACAAGAGAAAACTACTAACTCGCCTCTTATGGTAGGTTCTTGTTTATAAACTAAACATTAGCACAATGAACAATACGTCATATTTATAGTTTTATTCTTTAAGACCTAATAAGACCGCCATATCTATGAGCGGTTTCGAGGATTCTTCAACCTACGCAACCTGTGGCCAGGGAATGTTTTAAGCTGTTAAATGTTGTTGAAAAAAAGGAGGCAGTGATTTCATACAATGACCAGGGAAGTACAACATCCTTTATGAGTGAGGAGCCAGATGTATGGGGGAGGTGCACGAGGTAATGGATAAAATGAAAGGGGTAAAGCAGCTGGGACTGATGGGATCAAGAACAAAATGCTAAAAGCAGGCGGAGATACAGTTTTGGAGTGATTGGTGGTTTTGTTCAATAATTGTATGATAGAGGGGAAGGCACCTAGGGACTGGCAGAGAGAGTGCATAGTTCCTTTGTATAAATGAAGACAAAAGAGCGTAAGAATTATAGGGAATTAAGCCTGTTGAGTGTACCTGGTAAAGTGTATGTGTAGTTATTACTGAAAAAGTTAAGAATAAGACGGAGAGCAGGATCGCAGATGAACAAGGTTTTAGGAAGAGTAAAGGATGTGTAGACCAAGTGTTTGTTACATGGAACCATATATGTAAACAATATTTAGATAAAGGTAAGGAAGTTTTCGTTGCATTTATGGATTTATAAAAAGTATATGATAGGGTGGATAGGGGAACAATGTGGCAGAAGTTGCAAGTGCATAGAATAAGTGGTAGGTTACGTAAGCTGATAAGAGTTTGAGGATAATGAGGCTCAGAGAGAGGGGGACTATTTCCCAATAAAAGTAGGCCTTAGGTAAGTATGCATGATATCACCATAGTCGTTTAACATTTATAGATGGGGCTGTAAAAGAAGAGAATACTAGGGCGTTGGGAATAGGTGTGGGATTAAGATACTATATAGAATTTAATACAAAGTGGGAGCTGTCACGTTACTTTTTGCCGATGACACTGTGCTTCTGGGGGATTCTGAAGAGGTTCCAAAGGCTGGTAAACAAATTTGGGAAGATATATAAAAGAAGAAATTAAGAGTGAATACAGGGAAAAGCAAGGTGACGAGGGTAGCAAAAAAATTAGGTAATGAAAGACTGGATATCAGATTGTAAGCAGTGAGTATAGGGGAAGTGAATGCGTTTAGATATTTGGAGGTGGACTTGTCGGCGGACGGGTCTTTGAAAGACGAGCCGAACCATAGAATTGACTAGGGGGGAAAAGATGGGTGGTGCATTAGGCATTTGTGTAGACAAAGAACATTATCTATGAAGGCAAAAAGGAAAATGTACGAGAGTATAGTGGTACCAACATTCTTATATGGGTGTGAAGCATGGGTTGTGAATGTTGCAGCAAAGGATGGAGACAAGTGGCATTTATAACGTTGTTCGAGTGTGAATAAGGTAACATTTATGAAGAGATTCTGGGAAACCGGCTTGGTGGACTCGAGTCCTGGAGGTGAAAAGTACATACCTGGCAGAGAATGCAGAGAAACTGATATTCTTTAAGAAAAACCTTCTAATTGATTATGTAATAAAAGTATTATGTAATAAAAGTATTTGTCATATAGTAAAAAAACAAAACCTGGTGTTTTATGACTATCCTGCAATATATCCGCAACCTGAACTGTTGGATCAGTGCACCTCTGGCAAGACAGTGATAGTGAGTGTGTTTCTTCTTTTTTCGGGTCACCCTACCTCGGTGGGAGACCGTCGGTGTGTTTAGTAATAATATGCTATATATTCTGGTCACTTTAATATATAAGGAGCAACGTTTGAATTATGAAACATGTTCAATGAAAGGCACAAGAGGTGTTCACGTGGAGGAATGACTGATTCATACTATTAACCTGGAAACTTATATAATCAGTAAATTTGTTAACATGGGGTGAAACACATACATACATATATTATTCATAGTAAATATAAAAAGGGTATGATATAATTATAAGTGAAGGATATATATATATATATATATATATATATATATATATATATATATATATATATATATATATATTATATATATATATATATATATATATATATATATATATAGAAATTAAAGAAAGGAGGAGGGACATTACACGAGAGATAGGGAAGAGGAAAATTAAATTTTTAAGACAGAGAAAGATACTTAATGAGACTGAGGATAGGATTTGAAGATGGATTAGGAATGGGAATGAGGGAAAGGTACAAGGTGGAAATGGGTATGAGGATAACAGAGAAACGAGTCGAGTTATACAATTAACGAGGCAATAGAACCGTATGAATTTTGTGATTTTATTAAAAGCTGTAACATCGTTATCAATTCCCAAACATTATCAATTCCCAAACATTATCAATTCCCAAACAAGTCAGCTAACACCCGGGTACTTATTTATTGGGACGGAACGAGACACTACTAGTGCAGTTTGTTAAATTTAACATGACAACAGTTTGTGCTTGTAAACTATATGGAACATTACCTGTGACATAGTGTGAGTGATTACGAAGGTTCTTTTCCTGTCGCAGCTCGGACTGGGATCAGATTTCTCTGTTCGCCGCCTTGACTTCCAGGTTGTTCGTGCTAGTGGCCGGCAGACCCACATAGCCATCACAACGCGGCTGTTCAGGTAATTACGCGAGACATGTCCAGTTTCCTTGTGAAAAGTTCTAACTTCGTTCTGGGATTATTTTTGATTTCTGCTGGTAATGGATTAACAATTTTGGACCAGCGTCCTCTTAACTGTGCTTACGGTTGTCAAATACAAGTTTTTTTATGACATGTTTTGTTTTATTCAAACAGTAGGTATTCACATACCATTTCACCCAGGTATTTACTACTAGTGAGCAGGGGCAGGTGTTAGAAAACTTCGCCATGCGTCTCACCCCTCCTAAAATTCAACCTGGATCCTTCGGTTGTGAGACGAATGTGCTATTAGTAAGTTACGAGGTACTCAATAACGACGATATAAACTGGGCTATGAAAATATAAAGTTCCAAACTAAAACAATAAGGTTAAAATACGTAATGTTTAGGTTTCAAAATTAAGAGGCAAGTGTTAAGAACTGTGTACTACAGATTTTCACTAGAAGAAAGTGATCACTTTATCTGCGTTATCAATTTTAAGTCCGATAGAAATGTAAATTATTAACCGTATTAAGAGTAACGTCCTTAATCTATATTAATTTTTTATTTTTAATCAAACCTACGTAAATTATCTCTGTTAATTTAGATCTGTTTAAAGCACTTTGATAATTAAGATATATTATCACGGTTACTTTAATTGGTAAAATGGAATATACACAACAAACGCAAGTGTACAGAGTAACTATGTACATTACAGTTTTATATGATTATAATTGTCTTGTTTTGTAACGTAATGTAAATTACCTAGGATAAATATTGTCTTACATGGTAACATGCATAGATTACTTAAGATAACAAATATTGTCTTATATAGTAACGTGCAAATTACTTAAGATAATCCAAAATCAAGGTGACTTCCGTCCATTGCTTGGTGTAGGGACACACCTGCACATTTTCGGTAACACAGCTTAATAATTTAATTTAAACAAGATCACAATCAACAAAGGTTTACAATAGTTCACATATATTTTATAACTTATCACAACAGTACTTTATTTTGTTTTTTAATACTTGGGTGTATGACTACAGTGGGAGGAAGTACAGACTCGACAATGAACACTTCGGCCCAGAAATTTAAGTCAGCACTATAAAAATAACAACACAAATACACACATTACGTTGATTTATTATCAAGGATGGGAACCCAAGTGATCATAGTACCAGGGGGAGAGAGCACAACTTTGTAGTACCCACAGTCAGTGGCCAGGTTTTAAACACCTTTTATTGTACAGAAATACAGTAGTGGAACAGACTGCCTGCGCATGTCGAAGCCAGTCATAGCATGAACCAGTTCAAGAAGAGAGCCAAAAGGTACCTAATATTAGAATGTAGCGACAGAAAAGGAGAAGGATGTTTTTTTTTATTTTTTTATAGCTAACACGTGTATATATAAATAACTCATTTTACCTTAATCCTTGTGTATCTCCTTTATAGTATAATAAGGTATTACAAGGACCCTAGGATAACCCCAAAAAAAGTCACTTCGACTTTTTTTGGGGTTATCCTAGGTTCTCTACACACATGCTGCTATGTACGATAATTTATTTGTGTATACCTGAATAAACTTACTTACCTTAAAGATTATGAACTCCACGTGGGTCATTAAGGCTGCATGTTCACTAGGTAGCCATCCTAGTGAGGTACCTGACGCTTTTGAAGGGCTCTTCATGCACGGATTTGGAGTTACCCTTACAATCATTAGGTTAAACATTGATTACCTTAGTCTCCAGGCGTTGTATCGCTTCTACGGGTTTAGCGCTCCCTCATAATAAAACTGCATATCACCTATAAACCACCAAAGAATACTTTAATCCCTGAATTTGGGTTTAAAGTATACTCGGTATATACATAATCCTAAGACTGTTTTTATATGCAGCGAGAGCTGTACATGCATATATATACACCATGTGTATATATCTCACATACACACTCGGTATATATACCCTTCTCCACACAAAATTCAAATCTCGTAAAGATCAATCTGGACACAAATTATAACTGGATGTCACTAGAGCAGCGTATTACTTACTGTACTCGGCAGGTTGTGTATGGAGGGAAGCCCCACGGCACCACCACCACTACCACCTCTGCTGCTCACTACAGTATGTCTACTTCACCACCAGTCCCAAGTTGCATCATTATCACAAAGAGTCACTTTTCCATGACTCTTCGGCTTACATGGCTCTTAACAGTCAAACAGTTGCATACTTTATTGAATTTCCCATTCACTCTCTTTTTCTAAGTACAGTCTTGATGTAAGTCACACCGAACTAGAGGGTTTTTAGGTTGTTAAGCCGGCGTGGTAATTCCCAGCTAGGTGCTGCTAGTTGACGCATGAGAGTAACCTGGCAGAATAACCTCCTCCTACTGCTTACCCTTGGGAAAAAGTTCCTACTGCCCCAGTGTGCACACCAAACATGCCACACGTACGATTCACACACACCTTTTGCCAGGCGTACGACACACACACACACATGCACTACCTGCCTGTATTTCATGAATCGCTTTTTTTTTTCCCCAGCGCAAGGAGTGTTGGAGATTAGTTCTTCCGTCAAGTTATCACGGCTCAGTATCTGACCAGTCAGACTATTGGTAATGACCTTTACATACACGTACGCGCAGCCAGGAGCTGTGAATCGACCCCTGCAACAATATGTAGGTGAGTACACACGCACATAGCTTTAAGAAGAGGTATGATAAAGCTCATGGAGCAGGGAGAGTGACCTAGTAACGACCAGGGAAAAGGTGGGGCCAAGAGCTGTGACTCCACCCTTGTAACCACAATAAGGTGAGTACTAACATTAACACTTTTTGTTACACTTGTTACAAATAACATTTACTTTATCTTCGTTTTATATAATACATTGTTCCGAAAAACTAGAAGAAAATATTAAAACAGCGTCGAGATGAACGAAGGATTAAATTAAACGCTTGGTGTATACTGAGTTATATAACTCTCAGCCTATATACACTGAGATATACACATATCGGTGTGTATACTGAGATATGCACAGATCTCGGTGTATATGTGCATGCATGCAACTCTCGGTATATATATATATATATATGTCGTGCCGAATAGGCAGAATTTGCGATCTTGGCTTAAATAGCAACGCTCATCTTGCCATATAGGACAAGCGAAAATTTGTGTATGCAATAATTTCGCCAAAATCATTCTGAACCTAACTAAAAAAAATATATTTCACTGTGTTTGTTTGGTATTAAATTATTGTAAACAAATCTAAAATATATTTAGTTGGGTTAGGCTAAAATAAATTGTTCTTGTTACAATAAGGTTAGGTAAGTTTTCTAAGATTCTTTTGGTGCAAAATTATAAATTTTTACACCAACATTAATAAAGAAAATATATCTTTAAACGTATAAGAGAAAATTTCAGAAAGGACTTAATTTTAAATGAGTTCTTGCTAATTGACCAGTTTTACATATTCGGCACGACATATATATATATATATATATATATATATATATATATATATATATATATATATATATATAATATATATATATATATATATATATATATATATATACAATTCTCGGTCTATATTCACATTTATTAGAAACTTCCCCTGCAACCTCATTTGTACAACTTTCAGTGTAAGATATACCCAGAGTTGCATATATTTAAATACACTGAGGGCTGTTTGTGCTTACATACACCGAGAGGTGTATATACGTATATGCACCTAGAAGTGTGTCTGTACTGAGGGCTCTGAACACTGAAATATTTGATTATCTGTGTTTATCAAGAGACTAAATCGCGACCAGTGTCACAAGCGAGCCGAAACAACTCGTCGAAGATCAAAATGATTGCGTCACTGTTGACAAAATCAAGAAAATTTCCACCGCCTCCTTGGTCAGCTTTACTGAGAGACCATGGCCACCCCAGCACTCAGCGATGGTCTCCGACTCTCGTATTACTATGTTAATAACCCCAGGAACATCGAACTGGAGTGCGACAAACATATCACCCCGTGCTGGAACTGCTACTCTTATATACAGCTTGCTAAGGACTGTCCACTGAAGAAAAAGAAGTGCTATTCTCACTACGGCAACGAAAGACACTGGGGATATCAGCCACCCAGCCGAAATGTCTCAACTGCGAGAGTGACTGTCACACTCTTGCAGCCAAGTGCCTTCTCAGGAAAGAAATCTTCAGCACGAAGTTTGAAGAACAAAACAAACTTCGTTCCTTCAAGACATTCACCAGTACTACCATCACTCGCCTCTAGACCGACACCCATGGACTTATCATCTAACTTTCAAGACGGAATGCGCAAAAAAAAAAAAAAATAATAATAAAAATCCTCACCCGACTCAAGCCCTGGTATCTTCAATGATGCTGCCAACTCGATCTCCAAACTCAACAGCCTTCCTGATATGAAACGCCCTGAAGCCAACTCTTTTCAAACACTTAAGATTGTCAACTTTGATTTCTCCAGTACCCACATCCCAGATGAAGCGACGCCCACCACCACCTCCAGTGTACTTATCTCTGACGTAGCCATGCACACTGTCCCTCACATTACCTCCGTCCCCAGAAGACCAAGTACTCCAAAACAAGAAATCGAAGTAGACAACCACTGCCTTGGACTCATCTGGAAAAATATGCAATTCTGCACTTCACGTACAAACAGGAGCACCATGATCGTCAATGAAATGCACCCTCGACACTGCAACGGAATTGTCAGTATAGCTCTGCTGTTCCATACATCTTCAAACAACGACAAGTCCAAGACTTTGTGAAGCAGTTTATAGATGGCATCGACAACTGTGCCACACAGTTTAGAAGATTCTGAAATGGGTCATTCCAATTAATACTGTACAGTAAACTTAGGCGTCCTGTGGCTCACCTGGCAGTGCACTCAGCTTACATATTGAGTGTTCGATTCCCGGCAAAGGTGAAAATGTTAGGTATGATTCCTTACACCTGCTGCCCCTGTTCACCGAGCAGTAAGTTGTGGGTCGCATCCTGGGGGGTGGGTAGTATACTTTAGAAAGGGTTGGGCTTTGAAACGACCTGAGGTAGGATAACATTCTGTAAAATTGATTTCTGTAAAAAAAAAAAAAATCCAGAGTGTGCCAGATGCCTTGTGTCTAGCCTGTCTGCTGCTATCGTCATCTCCGCCATCAAGCGCTCCGCTGCTGGGTTAGGGGCGGCTTGTCTCTAACACCTGACCTTTATTTTTCTTTCAATTTCTTTCATTATTTTTGTACGTAGAGAAGCACCTTTCCATTTTCCTGTGACCAAGTTTCAATAAGATAGCTCAACAAACAGTTGAGAAAAAAATTATTTACCAATAATCATATATATAGGCGAGCTACTGTCGTAGTGGGACTTGGAGAAGCTGTTTTGGCAGTACGCATAAAACAATGCTAATCTGTATTTATCCAGATTATCTTTACTGTAATTTATCCTGTCTTCATTCTTAAAAAAAATAAAGTTTGTATGGTTTCTACACTCAGCCAAATATTTGACTTTTGCCCTCACACAAATCAGAAACAAATTATATCTCAAAATGAAAATCACCAGCTTGTAAAACAATCTTTCCTTAATGTTGTTTGTGAATTTCATTGCATTCATATCATTATTAATGACAGAAAGTCAATATATATGTGAATAACTTACTTCCGAGATAATCCGCGGAACGGTCGGACAACCGATTTTTTTTTTTTTTTTTTTTTTTTTGAGAAAATAGCATTTTTTCTAGTTTTATAGTGCATTACGAGTGTATATCGTAGTTAGCCCTGTCCGTTTTCTCTAATGGAAGTACCCTGGAGGGGATAGAAGGGGATTATTTACCCCCCCCCCTGCCACAGGTGAGTACTACCATACTCCCGAGGGACCGCTCGGGGTATATGCCACATTTATTATTTATTTATTTATTTATTACAATTTGAGCACGCATCTGGAGTATTTACCATACTGTTTGTTATGTCATATTAGAGCAATTGTGATAGATAAATAAGCCGTAGTAGCGATAATAGCGTTATGTTGAAGCATATTCCCCGGCTATACCGAGACAGGAATTTCTGGTGACGTAAGCAAATGTGATCCTAATTGGTTCTCATATTCTGTATTAGTTCCTCCCACTCTCTTATGATTCCAAATCGTCAATTATTATGTTAGAAAGAATAATACCAGAAATACACAAAATAAATCGGGAAAAAATGAAAATGACACGAAAATCACTCACTACGAAAGCAAAAGACTTGGCAGACGATGCAACATCCCCCCAGTGAAAAGCAGGGGTGTCACTAGCACGTTAAGAGACCATACAATAAGTGTCAGGGGCCCGAGACTGTTCAACTGCCTCCCAGCATACATAAGGGGGATTACCAATAGACCCCTGGCAGTCTTCAAGCAGGCACTGGACAAGCACCTAAAGTCGGTACCTAACCAGCCGGGCTGTGGCTCGTACGTTGGTTTGCGTGCAGCCAGCAGTAACAGCCTAGTTGATCAGGCTCTGATCCACCAGGAGGCCTGGTCACAGACCGGGCCGCGGGGGCGTTGACCCCCGGAACTCTCTCCAGGTAAACTCCAGACAACAGGTGAACAGGTCTGCCGCGGGTGGTGACGTCACCCTAGGTGTTATAAATGACTGTAATTCCTTCTAGAAATGTCTTAGAACAATGATTCTTGTACCAGTGTCTTGCCAGAGAGTTAAGCTATTTTTTTTCTATATGATTAACTCAATTTGCGTATTTTTTTTCGAATATTTTCTCGTTGGCGCGGGGCGAGCGTTCAGACGCCCCCTGAGCCATGAATCTGTTTTACGACTGAAGATACAATACAATTTTATTTCTTTGCTAGTTTACATTGAGATTCTGTTGTTACAATAATGAGTTGCAGTGCAAAGAACCACTATCATGCCACGGCATTATGGGCAGACTAAATTAATGTCTTACAGACTACTTAATACTAGAGAAATTGATCATAGTAAGTTACAGTCAAGTTATAATCTGGGGATATTACACTGGGACTTCTCTCACCTCACCTGAGAGTTTATTAGTTAGTCAGCTTCACAATGTTCAAATCAATTTAAATGAACACTTCTCCAAGATGAGGGACTGACTACCTTAAACTACTTCAAGGTTGATGGACTGATCACATCTTTACCTATCCACTGCTGCTGTTTCGCTGTTAGTCACTTCTGTATTCGACTCCAAAAACCTATTGGGTCGGCTAAACGTTTTGTAATAAAGATGCCTGACTTCTGCACGTGTCTTACTCATCTACTGGTTGATATTGTATACCATTATTAAATTCACAAGAACATTGCCATGCCTTCAGTTAAAATAAACATATATGTAACTATATTCATGTACACTATTATTTCATGTATTATT